ATGATACATATCATGTAAGGCCTTTTAAGTTTTTACACCATTCCCAATGAGACACATACAAGACTCTGTAGCAAATACATGATTTTTTTTTTAAACTCAGCAGAAAATGGGCTTTTTCTCTTCTTTTTTTTTCTCTTTTCTTCGCTTGCCCAGAGCTTTTCAACATTATCATGCACTAATTGGATTGGCCTAGGATGGGGATGGAAAAAAGGGAAAAGGGAAGAGAACCACAAAATTGTTAAAAATGTGCTTTAAAAAGAAGCATTTTTTTTTTAAAAAAAGGAAACATATTCTATCACCAAATAACGAAAAAAAAAAGGATGTTGTTAGGCTCCTAAAAAATTACAGAGAAATAAAACATTATACTTTACATACAGATCTTTCCAGGAAAACAAAAATATTTGTACGTTTCCGTGAAGAACGTTTTGGGCACATACTTAGCTGGAACTACGAACACATTTTATGACCATTAATATCTTTTTTTTTCTTTTCCTTCCTCTTCAATTAAAAAAAAACAAAAGTTAATTCAACATATATAGAGATAATTTTACATGTGAAAATACAAGTACCAACGGGGAGCGGGAAAGATAAGCTGAGTGCAGAACTAAATCCGACTTTTCGGGACAAGTTTTCAGAAGCAGGCAGGGCGCTCTTCTCTCTCTTTTTTAATGTACACAAGGGAAAAAATTAAGTTTTTCTTATTTCAACAATAACTTATGCCCTGCCTTAGACTACATTTAAAATACAATTATTTCTATTGTATTTCAATTTCACAAAAAAATAATAAACCTGGTAAGTGGGGGTCAATTGTAACAGTTAAAGTATGACCGGGTTGTTATGTGTGTTCTGGGCTTTATGGCCATGATCCAGAAGCATTCTCTCCTGACGTTTCACCTGCATCTATGGCAGACATCCTCAGAGGTTGAGGGTTCCCACAACCTCTGAGGAAGCCTACTACAGATGCAGGTGAAACATCCCCACAACCTCAGAGGATGTCTACCATAGATGCAGGTGAAACATCCCCACAACCTCTGAGGATGTCTGCCACAGATGCAGGTGAAATGTCCCCACAACTTCTGAGGATGCCTGCCACAGATGCAGGTGAAACGTCCCCACAACTTCTGAGGATGTCTGCCACAGATGCAGGTGAAACATCCCTACAATTTCTAAGAATGCCTGCCATAGATGAAGGTGAAACATCCCCACAATTTCTAAGAATGCCTGCCATAGATGAAGGTGAAACGTCCCCACAACTTCTGCCAACTACAGATGCAGGCGAAACATCCCCACAATTTCTGAGAATGCCTGCCACAGATGCAGGTGAAACATTCCCAAAACTTCTGAGGATGCCTGCCACAGATGCAAGCAAAAAATCCCCACAACTTCTAAGGATGCCTGCCACAGATGCAGGTGAAACATCCCCACAACTTCTGGGGATGCCTGCCACAGATGCAGGTGAAACGTTCCCACAACTTCTGAGGATGTCTGCCACAGATGCAGTTGAAACGTCCCCACAACTTCTGAGGATGCCAACTACAGATGCAGATGAAACATCCCCACAACTTCTGAGGATGCCTGCCACAGATGCAGGTGAAACGTCCCCACAACTTCTGAGAATGCCTGCCATATTTGCAAGCAAAACATCATAACTTCTAAGGATGGCTGCCATAGATGGTGAAACACCCCCACAATCTCTGAGGATGCCTGCCATAGGTGCAGGTGAAACGTCAGGAGAGAATGCTTCTGGAACATGGCTAGACAGCCCAGAAATCCACAACAACCCAGCAATTCCGGCCACGAATGCCTTCGACAATACATTAAAGTATGACCTATCACGCAGGCAGTGAGGGGACATGGGCCCCCAAGCCATCCCCAAACCACACCGAAATCTTATAGCAAGACTAACTCCAACTGCAATTCAGGCAGACACGACAGGTAGATAGACAGACTAAGGAGTTGCTTGGCCTGTGGACCGAAGTCACCTTAAAACTTAAGTGAAAGACACATGAGAAGTCAAAATTCAGATGTGAGAAAGGAAGGGAATGCAACGTCAGACTCTGAACAGTCGAGGATGAAGGATTCAGATGATCAATTAAGGATTCCTCTTGTGAAAACCGAAATCTTACATTTCAGGCAGATAGACAGACAGACAAAGGAGCTGCTTGGCCTGTGGACCAAAGTCACCTAAAAACTTAAGTGAAAGACACATGAAAAATCAAAATTCAGATGTGGGAAGGGAAGGGAATGTAACGTCAGGCTCTGAACGGCTGCTGCTAAGTCAAGGATGAAGGAGCCGGATGATCAATTGAGGATTCCTCTTGTGAAAACCTCACATGTAGGTCAGTTGGTGAAGCATAGTGTTGTGAAGGAACAGGCTGTAAGCCTGACAGCCTTGAAATAGTGTTCAGACACAGAATGGATCACTGTGAGATTTTTGTGCTGTCTGGCCATGTTCCAGAAGCATTCTCTCCTGACGGTTTGCCCACATCTCAGGCATCCTCATAGTTTGTGAGGTCTGTTGGAAACTAGGCAAGTGAGGTTTATATATCTGTGGAATGATGTCCAGGGTGGGAGAAAGAACTCTTGTCTGCTTGAGGCAAGTGTGAATGTTGCAATCGACCACACTGATTAGCATTGAATGGCCTTGCAGTTTCAAGGTCTGGCTGGTTGCTGCCTGGGGGAATCCTTTGTTGGGAGATGATTAGCTAGCCCTGATTGTTTCTTGTCTTGCTTCTTTCACAGCCTTAGAAAGTTTTAATATGTATTTCAGTTTTTACCATTGTTATTTTTGGCATATAAATGTTTAATACCATTTAAACTATCATATTCAATACTGGGTTCAACTTTGTTTTGACGTGGTTTCTTAATACCTAAATGTATATGTTCCTATTGTGACATTTGTACATTTTTTGGTGCTGGTCACTGACTGTAATAAATAAATATATAGTTGGGTTGTTGTAGTTTTTTTGGACTATGTGGCCATGTTCTAGAAGCATTCTCTCCTGATGTTTTGCCTGCATCTATGGCAAGCATCCTCAGAGGTTGTGAGGTCACAACCTCTGAGGATGCTTGCCATAGATGCAGGTGAAACGTCAGGAGAGAATGCTTCTAGAACATGGCCATATAGCCCAAAAGATTTACAACAACCCAGTGATTCCAGCCATGAAAGTTTTTGACAATAAATATATAGTTTCTTGTCTGGAATTCCCTTGCTTTTGAGTGTTGTTTAACAGATATATAAACCCCACTTCCCTAGTTTCCAACAGACCTCACAACCTCTGAGGAGGCCTGGCAAAACATCAGAAGAGAATGCTTCTGGAATATGGCCAGACAGCCCGAAAAACTCACAACAACCCAGTGATTTCAGCCATTAACGCCTCCAACAATACACAGAATGGATTGATTCAGTGTTAAAAGGAAGGTAAGTGACACACATTTGAGGTGGGCCTGACTAAGTAAAACTCCAGCCACAACACAGCCAAGTCCAGACATTCTCCCAAAGGAAAGATGCTGCAGGTCACATGAGGAAATTGTCCAGTTTTTGCACATGAAGAACATGTATTTCCCTCCTTTCTAAAGGTGTCAAAAATACCCATAAGTGGGGGACACAATAAGAGACAGCATCTGACAAAGAAAGCCAAGGTTTAGCTCAGGCATGGGCAAACTTGGGCCCTCCGGGTGTTTTGGACTTCAACTCCCATAATTCCTAACAGCCTCAGGCCCCTTCCTTTTCCCCCTTCCTCAACCGCTTAAGCGGCTGAGGGGGAAAAGGAAAGGGCCTGAGGCTGTTAGGAATGGTGGGAGTTGAAGTCCAAAACACCTGGAGGGCCCAAGTTTGCCCATGCCTGGTTTAGCTGGACTGCGACCCACATGCTTCTTCACCAAGACTGATCCTTAACCTCTCAGAAGCCTATATGACAACCCTCATCCCTGGGTTGTTGTAGTTTTTGTCACGCTATATGGCCATGGTTCTAGAGGCATTCTCTCCTTACATTTCGCCTGCATCTATGGCAAGCATCCTCAGAGGTAGTGAGGATACTTGCCATACATGCAGGCGAAACGTCAGGAGAGAATGTCTCTAGAACAGGGGTCCTCAAACTTTTTAAACAGAGGGCCAGGTCACAGTCCCGCAAACTTTTGGAGGGCCGGATTATAATTTTAAAAAACAAACATGAATGAATTCCTATGCACATACGTATCTTATTTGTAGTGCAAATAACTATAAAAAATAATACAATAATTAACATGAAGAACAATTTTAACAAATATAAACTTATTCGTATTTCAATGGGAAGTGTCGGCCTACATTTGGCTGATGAGATAGGATTGTTGTTGTTATTGTTATGTGCTTTTGAGTCGCTACAGACTTAGGTTGGCCATGAGCGAGGACCGGGTAAATGATCTTGGAGGGCCGCATCCGGCCCCCGGGTCATAGTTTGAGGACCCTTGCTCTAGAACATGGCCATACAGCCCAAAAAAAACTACAACAACCGAGTGATTTCGGCCATGAAAGCCTTCGACAACCCTCATCCCTGAACTCAGTTGTGGAAAGGAACACCTAGGCAGCAAATAAACAATTGTCAGATTGGGGTGGAAACTGTAAACACTAGTAAGTACAAAAGGGAAGCTGTTCCTTTAGTTGATTGGAGGATTTGGAGATATCTGGTAGTGGAAAGGAACACCTAGGCAGCAAACAAGCAATGTCAGATTGGGGTGGAAACTGTAAACACTAGTAAGTACAAAAGAGAAGCTGTTCCTTTAGTTGATTGAAGGATTTGGAGATATCTGGTTCTGTAGCACAGAAGGATTGGTCTCAAGAAGCCCATTGGAACTAAGGAGGCCTGAATAGTTTAGCTCAGTGGTTCTCAACCTGGGGTCCCCAGATGTTTTTGGCCTACAACTCCCAGAAATCCCAGCCAGTTTACCAGCTGTTAGGATTTCTGGGAGTTGAAGACCAAAAACATCTGGGGACCCCAGGTTGAGAACCACTGGTTTAGCTCTTTGTGGGGAAGGGATGAGGTTCAAGTGGGCATCAGAAATCACTTAATTCAAAATAAGCAGTGGTCCCCAGCAGCGGCGCCTTGGTTCTGCTACATACACATAACATGCACACATGCCTCCCCTGCTAGTCTGGAGGATCTGCCTCGCTTCATCTGTTGTTTTTCTAAGATTACTGGTGTCCAATATAGCATTTGCAAGGGGACATCTATTTCTCCACTCTGCAAAACAAGACCTCCTCAACCCACTGCACCAAGGAAAATGAGGCAGGCCAAGGGAGAAAGACGCACATCTCTTCCGACATCCACTTCCAGCACAGAAACTAGGGTCAGAATCACAAGGCCACAGCATTTGGCAACTACAGAGAGCCAGTCCGGCAAATCCCAAATTCACTTCTCAGAGCAGGCGAGTGATGGGAAAGGAGGACCACAGTTTCCATAGCACAGCAGCAGTGGGACGTCATTCTGCCACAATCATTTTGGTGAAGGGCAACAAGCAGGCAGCCACCACATTGTAGAGGATGAAGATAAGCAGCAAATAGAAAATATGCCTGACATTGAATAAACCTCTCCCCGATAGAGGCGTAGAACAGCAAGGAAAGCCCCAAATCCCAAATGTTGTTACGAAGAGACCTTTTTAGTGGGAGATGTGTAGCATCAGACCCTTCAAGAAGGCACAGAAAAAGACCTTGCATACCCAAAAGGACCCTATCTTGACAGAAAACAATAATGCCACTGGGTTGTTGTGTGTTTTCTGGGCTGTATGGCCATGTTCAAGAAGCATTCTCCCCATCTATGGCAGGCATCCTCAGAGGTTGTGAGGTCAGGAAAAACATCAGGAGAGAATGCTGCTGGAACATGGCCATACAGCCTGGAAAACACACAACAACCCACGGAAGCCTTTGACAAGACAACGCCACTTTCTCACACTAGCCCAACTTGGCACGGGTGTAGTGACCCTCATCTCGGTCAGGTGGGAGATCCAGTTTCCCCAGCCCTCTCATTATCCCTCTCCTTTCCCAAGCCTCTGTATTGTTGTGTGAACCCTCTCTGCTTTCTTTTTAACAGTCTTCAAACCAACCAAAAAAGTTTCCATTATTTACAAAAGCTCAATTTTCTTAACACATGAGAATATAAAACTTGGAAGAGGAGGGAAAGGGGAACGCTTGCAAGGGGACGCTTTTCAGGCACACGATCCTGACACAATACACTCTTTAAAATGTGATTCTCAAGAAAAAAAGGAGTACATAATTCAGCGTATTTATAGGAGAGAGTCAGCTTGCTGAAGACTGGGCCTCTGAAATGCCAGAAAAGGAGCAGAGCGAAGGGAGAGTCCGGTTTGGGAATGGGTCGGGGCTCCTTCTCTCTCTCCACCCTCGGTCCCTCTGTCCCCCAAACACAGGTCACCACAAACATCCTTGAAATGCCGAAACCAGCAATTAAACCACAGGTTCTCCTTTAAAGTGCGAAGAGACAGAAAGGATGGCATCGGGAGTCCTCCCTTGTGTCTTCCTAGTGGTACCGTGGAAACTCCAGTTGAAACTCAGCAGGTGCGGACTTCCTCCCCCCCCCCCCCCATACACTCTCTCATTCTCTCTCTTTCACACACACATACACACAAGGCAGTTGACTAGGTACTGCTGCTATACACCCCATAGGCCATTTTCATGGTGTCTCCATGGGGAATGTTGTAGTGGTTCACTTCTAGCTCTTCCTCAAGAGGTAAGGAAAGAAGCAGGCTCAATACGAGCAGAACAGGCGAAGAAAAGAGGGGGAAGACCACAGAGTTAAGGGGTGACAGGAGCACACAGTGGCTTCCTGTGTAGGGCAAAGGGAAGAGACAAGTGCACTGTGCATGGGAGCACCAAAGACTTGAACCAGGGCACACGCTTCTTTGCACATGCATGCAAACACACCAACAGACTGGGAGGAGGGAGCTGCGAAATGGCACAGGAGGAGGATGTAAAGAAGGCCTACACATTATATTTATTAACACCTTGACCGTTTCATGTAGTTCTGGCAAGGTAAATAATCATTGCCATTGAGATTTGGCCCCAAGGCCTCTTGCTATCGGTTTTAGCCCATTTGAGACCCTCCTATGTGGTTTCTCCCCAAGCCTTCATGCCCTGAGCAGCCCAATGTGAAACTCAACTGAGGGGTCATCTTCACTGGTGTCCATTTTCAGGATTAGGGCCAAAATGGTCAGAAACATCAGATTATGTGGGGGGGGGGGTGTTCATAGGTTGTGCACCTTTGTTCGTGCCTTCTGAACAAGCATATCTATCTGGGTCTCCAAGATAGCAATTGACTTTGGAAGACCTTCATGCCCTGAACAGCCCAATGTGAAACTCAACTGAGGGGTCTTCTTCACTGGTGCCCATTTTCAGGATTAGGGCCAAAATGGTCAGAAGCATCAAATGATGTTGGGGGAGGTTCACAGGTTGTGCGCCTTTGTGCATGCCTTCTGAACAAGCATATCTATCTGGGTCTCCAAGATAGCAATTGACTTTGGAAGACCTTCATGCTCTGAGCAGCCTAATGTGAAACTCAACTGAGGGGTCTTCTTCACTGGTGTCCATTTTCAGGATTAGGGCCAAAATGGTCAGAAACATCCAATGATGTTGGGGGAGGTTCACAGGTTGTGCGCCTTTGTGCGTGCCTTTTGAGCAAGCATATCTATCTGGGTCTCCAAGATAGCAATTGACTTTGGAAGACCAGTGACTAGATTCCAAGGGGCCTTCAAAACAACACTAGGGATGTAGTTCTTCTGGCGCCATCTCCTCCAACAAAGGCCAAGGGAGGAGAAGCTACAGAAGTCACACTTTCCACAATTTAATTCCAGCACACTTTAAAACACTGGGGATATTTTTGAAAAAGCAGAAGTTATAACCACCCATGCCTGTTCTCTCTCTCTTTCTTTCTCTCTCTCATACACACACACACCAATAGTATTTTTCCAACACAGCGTGCCCAAGGAATGAAACCTCAGGTCAGACAACGAAACGTGGACTTGGTTTGCAAAACTCACACACGCATTTGCCTCTTTTCTTTCTCCTCTCTTAAGTGCTAACACAAATATTCTGCGCGGAGGGGGGGAGGAGGAGGAGGATGAGGAAGGGTAACAAGAGATATGTTGCTGTTTGTCAAATGAAGACAGCAGAACCTACCAGACCAAACCTGGACTGCCCTACAACCCGCCACCCACCCGCCGCCAAGGGAAATCTGCCATGCACAAATTCTCTGAACAAGTAAAAAGGAGCCAAAGTCCCACACAACTTTGCCAGGTTAAAAACAGCCCAACCAGCAAGCAAAGGCGGGGAATGCCTCGTTTCTCTTCATGTCAAGGAGAGGGGGGCTCTTCCTTCCCACTTGGATTGGCCATTATTGAAGAGTCAAGACAAAGTTTCACTCCAGCCTTGCTGACATTTAAAAAGCGTTCTGTTCAGAAGCATTGGTCCAAGTCCTTCTGAGCCAAGAGGCTGGGGTGCTGCAAGTGGAAATCATGGTCCCCGCAAGATGGGTGAGATGCCCGGTGCTGCAGGACAGGCCTCCATTACAGCTTATGGAATGTGTTGTTGGGGAGAAGCTCCAAATCCTGTTACGCCTTAGCAGCGCCCCTCTGTTCACATGCGAGCCAAAGAGGAGACGGGAAAGGAGAGATTCCCAAAGATGCACCTAAAAGCCAACAGACTACGCTCCCCTCCTCCGAACTTGGCAATGTTCCCACAAGTTCTACTTGGGTCGGGACTGCTCTCGGTCGAAGAAAGAGCCGGTGCGGAAGGGGAGAGGCCGGCATCCTCTCTGCTCAGGAGAAGGTCCCGCGCTGGCCCGTGTTCCGGCAGGCCCTTCTGCGCCAGGCACTGAGGCGGAACCAAGGCTTCACGCGTGTCCAATGCACCAACTTGCCAGTGCTCTATTCCGCAGCGCAAGTCTGCCACAGAGTGGAGTGGGGAAAGAGTGTGCCAAGTGATGCCGGGGCGGAGTTTCCAGTCTCTGTTCGGCACGTCAGAACAGCAGTGGACCTCGACTTCCTCTCGCGCCCGAGTTCACAGTGTATGCTGCTCAGCTTGAAGCTGGGGAGGGAGAAGGGGCTGGAGAGGAGACTGTGGTGAGGGGGGAGGCGTCTGTGGAGGGGAGGGCTGGGCCATCACAGGGGTGGACGAGAGGAAAGGCGTGCTGGCGGGAAGGGCCGAGGGGGAGCTGGGCATGGCACCGGGGGGCTCTATGATGGGCCGATTGTAGAAAAAGAAGGGGCACTGGTGGATGAAGAGTTCGATGATTGTCTGATAAATGCGGGTGGCAGTGAGCGCATCCATGGTGCTGAAGTCGGGCCTCATCAAGGTGGGCCAGAAGCAAATGGAGAGGTTCTCGCTCGTCATCAGGTTGGTTCTGTTGTGTTGGCTGACTCTGCAATAATAATAATAAATCATAATAAAACTCAATTTGTACCCCACCAACATCTCCCCGAAGAGACTTGGCGCAGCTAACAAAGCACTCAAGGTGCCATACATAAAATAGATTTACATATCATCAAAACAATACACAATTTAACTGAATGCAAACAATGGTCAATGTCAATGGATAAAATTAAATAATAATAATAATTTCTTTTTTTGTCATGTCAGGAGTGACTTGAGAAACTGCAAGTCGCTTCTAGTGTGAGAGAATTGGCCGTCTGCAAGGATGTTGCCTAGGGGACGCCCGGATGTTTTGATGTTTTTATCATCCTTGTGGGAGGCTTCTCTCATGTCTCCGCATGATGAGCTAGAGCTGACAAGAGGGAGCTCATCCGTGCTCTCCCCGGATTCGAACCTGCAACCTGTCGGTCTTCAGTCCTGCCAGCACAGGGGTTTAACCCACTGCGCCACTGGGGGCTCCCGGTCATTGGGCTTCTTTCAAACATGAGCTAAAGTGCCAAATAACAATGGTTGACGTCATCACATGACCATAGTACATTACTCCAGGTCAAGGTAAAGTAAAGGTAAAAATTTCCCTGACATTAGGTCTAGTTGTGTCCGACTCTGGGGGGTGGTGCTCATCTCCATTTCTAAGCCAAAGAGATGGCGCTGTCCGTAGACAACTCCAAGGTCATGTGGCCACTGGCACGACTGCATGGAGCAACATTACCTTCCCACCAAGGTGGTACCTACTGATTTACTCACATTTGCATGTCTTCAAACTGCTAGGTTGGCAGAAGCTGGGCCTAACAGCAGAAGCTCACCCTACTCCTTGGATTCGAACTGCCAACCTTTCGGTCAGCAAGTTCAGCAACTCAGTGGTTTAACCCACTGTGCCACCAAATAACAATGGTCGACATTATCACATGACCATAGTACATTATGCTAGTCAAAGGTCCATATAAATAGCCATGTTTTTAGGCTCGAAAGGAAGGTTATCTAATCTTGCTAGGGAGGGCATTCCAGAGTTGGGGAGCCACCACTTGTGACAGTGGTGGAATCAAGAGAAGGGCCTCCCCAGTAGATCTCAAGGCCCGCACCAATTCATAGAAGAAGATGCCGTCTCAAAGATAAGTTGGACCTAAAGCGTATAGGGTTTTATAGGGATCCAACTGCACTTTGAATTGCAAGATACGGAGACACCACCCCACAGAGTTAGCAAGACTTACCCACAAGACAGTGTATTCTTGCCACATAAAGATGCCAATGTGCTCCAAAGAGGACAATCCACAGATATTGTGGGGTTAGCCCAAGCACTGGCAAATCTCAGCCCTCCAGGTGTTTTGGACTTCCACAATTTCTAACAGTGGCTAGATTATCCTTCAGCCCACTCTAGAGCTGCCATTGCCTTTTCATTCGTGTGTGTGTGAATGTGTGTGTGTGTGTGTGTATGTGTGTGTGTGTGTATGTATGTGTATGTATGTGTGTGTATGTATGTATATGTGTGTGTGTGTGTGTATATATGTGTGTGTGTGTGTGTGTGTGTGTGTGTGTGTGTGTGTGTATATATATATATATATATATATATATATATATATATATATATAAAATATAAAAACATATAAAGGACTGGTGACATTCTGATCATGTCCTGTTTTGTACATGCAGTAAAGGGACTGTGATACTTGCAGTGATCCATACAGGCAATGCAAGTGGAAGGTACAAGCTTGCAGGGTATGCTTATTTATTTATTTACCCTACTTATATCCTGCCTTTTCTCTCCCCTGAAGGGGACTCAAGGCGGCTTACATATGGTAATTATTCAATGCCTTAAAAACACATACAAATCATTAAACTTAAAACAAAACAAATTAAAATGTATACATATTAAGCATTTAAAAACATTGTATTCAACACTAAAGTCATGCCAATCAGAAATTGTAGTCCAATTATATATTACTATATTGTACTATACCATAATATTGTAATATTATTAGTATTATTACATGTAATATAAAATAGATCTGCAAAAAAAGACGAGTGAATTTAACAAGAAGAGTGGAAAAAACCCTCTTCAGCTGCCTTTATTCTCTGAACAAGAAGGTTGTTTATAGCGATGCCAAGAACACACCTTCCGAGTGTCGTGAGGCTGTTACCATCTCCATTAGAGGCTGTGAGAACCGAACCCAAAGGGCTGCTGGTTGTTCTGGACTCATTAACTGGGAATGTAAGAGCACAGCCTTGCAAATATGACCTCTGCCAAGCAGCAAATGCCCTCTGGACGTGGCTAATGAAAGTGGGGAGACAGCGGGCCGAACACAACCTCCGCTAGAGCGCCGCTGCCAATTTCTGGAGGAGCAGGATTTACCCAACTTAATGAGACCCCTGATAAATGCAGGCTGGCTTAATTGGGAGAGATGTCAGGGAAGAGATTCACTCCAGGCAGGCTCCGCTGCCCCATTGTGGCTGTGAAATGACCCAGCCTTGGCAAGGCTCCACTCCGTGCTTGTTAAGGAGGCAGCGGCTAAAACTAAGGTGACATGCCCACCTCCCCCATTTGCATCTCAGGCTGACGCGGAAAGGCGCAGGGCACGTACTTGTTCAAATGGGAGATAACATATTTGAAGACCTCGTAGTTCTCCTTGGGAAATTTTTTCAGCACCTCTTTAAGCGCATGCAGCTTCTGCTCTCTGTCGTTGATCTCTGTTGAAAAGGGAAAGGAACACAACTTATCGATAGTGGAAAAAAGAAATGGAAGGCTTCTCTTTTACATCCTCCACGAAAAAAATCCCACAAGACCCTTCCCAACACTCCTGAGAATTCTCTTCGGGTAAGAGAATCATCTCCCAACACAGCAAACAACGTCGACCACTTGTTAAACACTGACGGTTTAATGAGGAACAATCGCAGCTAATTTGCTGGTGCTTAAAATTATTCTCTGTCACTAACATGACAGGTGACAGACTGACTGCATTCGGTACACAAAGTGCGTTCTGCAGCAGTCATTTTGCAATCCTCAAATATTGTAATTGTTCTTCACATTTTTTTAAACCCTCAGAATTGGAAACTGTCAAGTTGTTGAAATATAAAGAAATCGAGCTTCCTGTAACCTACCCTCATTTTCTACAGTCAGGCCTACTAAAACATGAAGGTGTGTGTATAGATCACTCATGGGCAAACTTTTCTAACTTAGGGGCCGGAGTCGGATGGGTTGGTGGGTGGGCCGGGAAGGAGGGAAAGGATTACTGTGGAATACTGTGTCCAGTTCTGGGCACTACAATTGAAGAGAGACATTGGCAAGCTGGAATGTGTCCAGAGGAGGGTGACTAAAATGATCAAGGATCTGGAGAACAAGCCCTATGAGGAGTGACTTAAGGAGTTGGGCATGTTTAGCCTGAAGAAGAGAAGGCTGAGAGGAGACATGATAGCCATGTATAAATATGTGAGAGGAAGTCACAGGGAGGAGGGAGCAAGCTTGTTTTCTGCTTCCCTGGAGACTAGGACGCGAAACAATGGCTTCAAACTACAAGGAGATTCCATCTGAACATTAGGAAGAACTTCCTGACTGTGAGAGCTGTTCAGCAGTGGAACTCTCTGCCCCGGACCGTGGTGGAGCCTCCTTCTTTGGAAGCTTTTAAACAGAGGCTGGATGGCCATCTGTCAGGGGTTCTTCGAATGCTTCTTGGCAGAACAGGGTTGGACTAGATGGCCCACGAGGTCTCTTCCAACTCTATGATTCTATGATTCTCCGTCAGAAGGACTGGCTATTCAGAGAGGAAGAGAGCTTTTCTCTCCTGTCATACCAACCTCTCTGTTTCTTTCTTTCTTTCTTTCTTTCTTTCTTTCTTTCTTTCTTTCTTTCTTTCTTTCTTTCTTTCTTTCTGCAACCCACTAAAATGCATATACTTCTCCCTTTAGGGGCTCAGCCTTTACACAAAAAGGGGTAGGGGTGAGGGAAAGAGAGAAGGAAGGAAAGAAAAAAAGGAAGGAAGGACGGAAGGGAAAGATGGAATGAGAAAGAGGGAGGTAAGGAAGGAAGTGAAGGAGGGAAGCCGGAAGGGAGGGAGGGAGGGAGGGAGGGAGGGAGGGAGGGGAAAGGGTGCTCGGAAGGATGGAAGAGAAAGAGGAAGGAAGGAAGTGAAGGAGGGAAGCGGAAGGAAGAGAGAAGGAAAGACAACAAGGAAGGAAGGAAGGAAGGAAGGAAGGAAGGAAGGAAGGAAGGAAGGAAGGAAGGAAGGAAGAGAAAGATGGAATGAGAAAGAGGGAGGTAAGGAAGGAAGTGAAGGAGGGAAGTCAGAAGGGAGGGAGGTGAAAGGGTGGAAGGGAATGATGGAATGAGAAAGAGGTAGGAAGGAAGGGAAGGAAGGAAGGAAAGGAGAAGGAAAGAAGAAGGAAGGAAGGAAGGAAGGAAGGTAAGGAAGGAAGTGAAGGAGGGAAGTCAGAAGGGAGGGAGGTGAAAGGGTGGAAGGGAATGATGGAATGAGAAAGAGGTAGGGAAGGAAGTGAAGGAGGGAAGCCGGAAGGAAAGAGAGAAGGAAAGACAAAAGAGAAGGAAGGAAGGGAGAAAGATGGAATGAGAAAGGGGGAGGTAAGGAAGGAAGTGAAGGAGGGAATTCGGAAGGAAAGAGAGAAGGAAGGAAGGATAGGATGGTGAGAGAGGAAGGCCTGAGAAAAAAGCCCAAGGGGCCGCATCCAGCCCTCAGGCCTGCGTTTGCCCAGATCTGGTATAGAGCTATAGACCATGTCACACAGACATTGGCACTTAACAGGAGAGCTGTGAGGAATTGGAGGGGTGGGAGGGAGGGGAGTTAAGCTATTTGCTTAACACCTCTGTAAATGTATTTCAATGTGTGTTAAAAAATTGAACATGTTTTCAAAAAGTACAAAATAGGAGAGGAACTTCAATGTTTATCATTTGAAATGTAGTCAAAGGACACCTAATAAAACCTTAATTTTACAGCACTACTAACACTGCTTACTAAAGACACCAATTAAATGATCAAGCAGATGCTGTTGTGACAGTCCTGAAACATTAGTCTACATGAATTCTGCTGTTTGGTGAGTGTTGTACATTTCTCCCTCAATATAAATATTGCATACTGTTAATTCAGACCTACAGTGCTGTTGCTTTTGGTGTAAGAACTATACCCGTTTCCCTCTTTAAGACAGCTCAGTTCCATACCTGGAACTCCATTCTATGTCCCCATTCCCAAAACCTTTGGATCTCAGCGTTTCCTCGGCTGTGAACCTACTAACAAGGGTCAGGACAATTCAGCATACGGATTTTACAGTATGAAACAAAAAAATCCCAAAACTCAAAATCTTTTCTCATAGTCTCGAGCTTTTGGATCCAACACATTCATGCTTATGCAAGACTACTTTTGCTCTGATTTGCAAATATTATTCTAAATGGCTTCGCTCTGCCAGCAGAACTTATCATATGATAATGAAAGTATGCCAGTTTGTCTTCGACCAGCATGGAATAATCAGGCAGCAGCATATGGATGGTTCTCTTTTGTATTTGTCCAATGTGTGCCTTGTTCAGTCCCCAGGAGTTCATGCATGAGAAGTTCCCTGACAATTGGTCCCTTCACCCTGATCTGTTGCTTTCCCATTCCGCCATCTTTAATGGAATCCAAACCATATAGCTTGAGGCTGTTGCCTCACTTTGCCTCATGATATACCTACTTCTGCTAAGAAAAAAACTCACTCCGAATGTATACGCTTTCATACTATGCCAATATTGTGTATTTTTTTTGTTTTTGAGCTTTATTTTAACTGTTTTGTATTGATTATTTGTTATTGCCTTCGTTTATTGATGTACTGTGGGCTTGGCCTCATGTAAGCCGCACCGAGTCCCTTGGGGAGATAGTAGCAGGGTACAAATACATTATTATTATTATTATTATTATTATTATTATTATTATTATTATTATTATATGAAGCTGGAGTCATTTGATTTTTTTAATCATTCAGATTGGTTGAAAAAGAAAGAGATGAAGATGCAGAAGACGCTGCTTCAGCCGTTCCCTAAAAGAATCCTCCACCTTGTGCGATGCGGAGCAGAACAAACTGCATCTGTATGCTTGCCCACAATGTCCTGCCACATGTACAGAGGAAGAATTGTTACAGACAATGAATCATAGAATCATAGAGTTGGAAGAGACCTCATGGGCCATCCAGTCCAACCCCCTGCCAAGAAGCAGGAATATTTGCATTCAAAGCACCCCCGACAGATGGCCATCCAGCCTCTGTTTAAAAGCTTCCAAAGAAGGAGCCTCCACCACACTCCGGGGCAGAGAGTTCCACTGCTGAATGGCTCTCACAGTCAGGAAGTTCTTCCTCATGTTCAGAGGGAATCTCCTTTCTTGTAGTTTGAAGCCATTGTTCCGCGTCCTAGTCTCCAGGGAAGCAGGAAACAAGCTTGCTACCTCCTCCCTGTGACTTTTGTCAGTGTATGATTTATGTATGATGTATGTTTAAATGCAATTTTATGTGATAGGATTGTGATTGTAATAGACTGTAATAGAATTGTATTGCCAGGATGTATGTTTACACAAAAGAGCTGTGAGAATGTGACCCTGAGTTTCTTGCTGTGTGAAGAATTAGGGAGTGTCAGAGATAACTCCTTCCCAGCTACAGTTTGTCTTTAGTGCCTATCTCTTTCATTTTGTGTTCTTCGCGTCTGCTCGCTGATGGTATATATTGGATTTATGAACTGCTCAAGTAAAGCTGAAACCTGCTTTTTACCGGTGACTCCAGAGTCCATTATTCAGTGCTTCCGCGATTCTTCTGCTAGCCCTAACAAGTGGTTATGGGCCCTGCAACTGATCGGGCTTGTTAATCTGGACCAATTTACCTGCAGAGTTGCTGCCCTGTTTGGAGACTGTATTTGAAGCTGTGTGCTTTGGACTGGAGACTGGGGCCTGTCACACCGAGAGTTTATACATGGCTATCATATCTCCTCTCAGCCTTCTCTTCTTCAGGCTAAACATGCCCAGCTCCTTAAGCCGCTCCTCATAGGGCTTGTTCTCCAGACCCCTGATCATTTTAGTTGCCGTCTTCTGGACACATTCTAGCTTGTCAATATCTCTCTTCAATTGTGGTGCCCAGAATTGGACATGCAGTTGCTGTTGCTCGTTTCTGGTCAAAAAGTATTTTGCCGCTTGTGCTCCTTCTATTTTTATCAGTTTTATACTTATTTATTCAATGCTTTTGATACAAAATAAATAAGCAATTCCCACATACAACTGAGTTTTTTCCCATGCTGTTATATTTGCCAGCTCTAGATGGCACCATAGCAAGACTCACACTTGTTTCCTAGTGTTTTTTGAAAAAGAAAATAGCTGTCACAGAGGCTGAAAAACCTTCAGCTCTTTTGAGTTCTGGGGTCCGTTTGCTTGTTTAACTGTAAGCCTAGGGGCAAAATGAGTGTGCAACAGTCAAGAGCAGACAGGTCTATGAGATCCAGCCCTCACTCACACTTATGGTAATTTTGTGAATTCTCTACCCAGAAGCATATTGACTTAACACAGAGAGCCGAAGCCATTTTGCTCTATCACCTGCAACTCTTGTTCTTTATTCTTGATGGTAGTCCATCAAGATAAAGACTATTCTCTTTTTTTAAAAAAATTTTTTACCAATTGGAAAAACTAGAATTATAAAAAATATCTGTATAGACAAAATTGTCATGGCAAAACATTCTGCTGGTTGTTCCTAACTCTTATGAGCTTGGTTTGAACCTGCCATCACATCTCTTAATCTCTCAGTCAGATCTTCTCCAGTTATTGGGTTTGTTTTGTTCAAAAAAAACCAAAAACCAAAAAACAAGCACAACCACAGAAAATTAATCCTAATTGCTTCCTTTCTTGAATGCCCTACCTACTTGCCAAAATACCTATCCATTTCACCCGGTCATGCCCAGCTTTTTAAAAAAAATTACCATTACATCTGGCCCTGACATTGGTTTTAATTGTGTCGTGTTTATTGCTAATGTTTACTGTTTGATTTTTATTTACTGCTGTATTGTTGTTGTATTTTATTGTTGTATTGGGTCTCGGCCTATTGTAAGCCGCACCGAGTCCTTTGGGAGATGGTAGCAGGGTATAAATAAAGGTTTATTATTATTATTATTATTATTATTATTATTATTATTATTACTACTCAATTTTATGTATGTCTCTGTATAGCAGTGGTTCTCAACCTGTGGGTCCCCAGATGTTTTGGCCGTCAACTCCCAGAAATCCTAATTGCTGGTAAACTGGGATTTTTGAAGTTGTAAGCCAAAACACCTGGAGACCCACAGGTTGGGAACCACTGCTGTATAGGAATTAAGTGGTCCAGAGGTCTACAGAATGGGGGGCAATGCCTGGCTCGAGAGCAGTACGTGTGAAAAAGATCTTGGGAGTCCTTGTGGACAACAAGTAAAACATGAGCCAACAATGTGATGTGCCGGCAAAAAAGGCCAATGAGATTTTGGCCTGCATCAAGAGGAGCATAGTGTCTACATCTAGGGAAGTCATGCTACCCCTCTATTCTGCTTTGGTTATACCACACCTGGAATATTGTGTCCAATTCTGGGCACCACAATTCAAGAGAGATACTGAAAAACTGGAATGTGTCCAGAGGAGGGCGACTAAAATGATCAAGGGTCTGGAGAACAAGCCCTATGAGAAGCGTCTTAAGGAGCTGGGCATGTTTTGCCTGAAGAAGAGAAGGCTGAGAGGAGATATGATAGCCATGTATAAATATGTGAGAGAAAGCCACAGGGAGGAGGAAGGAGCAAGCTTGTTTTCTGCTTCCCTGGAGACTAGGACGCAATGGAACAATGGCTTCAAACTACAAGAAAGGAAATTCCATCTGAACATGAGGAAGAACTTCCTGACTGTGAGAGCCGTTCAGCAGTGGAACTCTCTGCCCCAGAGTGTGGTGGAGGCTCCTTTTTTTGGAGGCTTTTAAACAGAGGCTGGATGGCCATCTGTCAGGGGTGATTTGAATGCAATATTCTTGGCAGGGGGTTGGACTGGATGGCCCATAAAGTCTCTTCCAACTCTTTGATTCTATGATTCTACAATTCAATATTTAAGGGCTTGGAGGACCTTAACCTGATATAATTAGAATCAGAAGCCAATCAGAAGTTGTGAGCTGCCGAGATGAAGGGGTAAAGCTCATGAGCAACCCTTTATAGCAGTCTTGATCCACACAAAGGCTGAAGAGCAGGCAAGGAAATTAGGATCCTCTCTTTTTAAACACAAGAACGATTTTTCTCAGATCATCTATGCAGCTCTGAACTCTGAGGGAAAAACCCAAATGCAGGAAGCCTTTAAAGTGGTATGTGTTCCAGGCCATGGCAGAGCTAGAGTTGTCATGCCCACTCTGTGCTATTATCCACATATGTATCTGCCACAGAACATGAACAAATATAACAACAACAACAACTTTGTTTTTGTACCCTGCCTCCATCCCCGAAGGGACTCGGGGTGGCTTACATGGGGACGATCCTGATGGTTGCAGAAAGCACCATCGGTTTGAAAAATATAGGCATTTTTGTGATTACCTCCCCAAGTCAGAGTGCTTTCAAGCCAGGATGAAGAAAGATTGAGAGGTCTGAACATACCTTTATTAATATATAAAAAAAACCCCAATGAGGCATACTCACTGTGGGCCTCCACCAGCTCAGCCTGCATGTTGTAAGGTACCAGGGGTTCAGGCAATTCTGAGAAGAAGCTCTTCATGGCTCCAGCTACAGCATTCACAGTGAAGTCCTTCTCCACAAGGTCCAGATTGTGATCTACATGAACATTTCACAATGATTACACCTTGTCTATCAAAGCTACCAAGGCAAACAGCATACCTTTACCCTACTGAATTTTCAGGTTGCCTAGTTACAAGCATGATGTCACTCACTGAGAGCTCTCTCTCCCTCTATCTATCTATCTATCTATCTATCTATCTATATACACACACACACTGTATATACTCGAGTATAAGCCTAGTTTTAGGCTGAAAAAGTCCCCCTCAGCTTATACTCGAGTCAAGGTTATTTATTATTTTACTCTGTTATTATTATTATTACTATTATTATTCTTATTATTTTCATTTATTATTTTATTCTATTTATGGTTACATTTATCATTTTACTCTATTATTATACATTTATTATTTTACTGTATAATTGTTGTTATTGCTACATTCATTATTTTACTCTTTATTATTGTTGTTGTTATTATCTTTATTGTTACTCTGTTATTATTGGAAGGATACATAATGATTTAGTCAGAGTTGGACACTCTTATCTTAAAATTACCATTTTTGTAAATATTCAAAAATATATAACGTACTGATTCCTCAATTAATGCAATTTAATTTGTATCTATTTTTATTTTGCAATTTACCAGTAGCTGCTGCATTTCCCACCCTCGGCTTACACTCGAGTCAATCCGTTTTCTCAGTTTTTTTGTGGTAAAATTAGGTGCCTCGGCTTATATTCAGGTCGGCTTATACTCGAGTATATACGGGTATCTATCTATCTATCTATCTATCTATCTATCTATCTATCTATCTATCTATCTATACTAGCCATCCCCTGCCATGCGTTGCAGTGGCCCTGTCTGTGTATATGTGTTTTGCGTGTGTATATATGTGTATATGTTTATGTATATGTGGATATGTGTTTGCGCATATATATGTGGTTTTGCACATGCATTGTAATGTATTTTTTATTTATTTTTTGGCTTTTTAAGTGTCTTTCTCTGTGTTTTTCAGTGTTTTTATGAGTGATGGTCACTCGTTGGACTGATACGTGTATTGCGTCCAAATGTGGTGTCAATTTGTCAGTTATGCTAATCCCACAAATGAACATTACATTTTTATTTATATAGATTACTATTGTGTCCCATCATATCTCAGGCAACAGGACAGAGATTGCTCTTACCTTGTTAGCAACCATCCAAGCCTTCACTATTTGTTTGTTAATGTATATGTTCGCTAACCTGTTTTCTATGTGTATATTGATTTGCCAGTTTGACTGACCTCTTTGGTGTGGGAGGGGCTACAGACATGTGATGGTACTGAGCATGCTCAGACTCAAGACTCCCTTTTTTTATTATTATGGTTTTGGACTTCAATGTTAGCAGTTCGCTTTAGACTTCAGTGGAGGTGGTTGCAGTCTGCTTTTGGACTTCAGTGAAAGCAGATGTCATTTGGACTTATGAAAGAACAATTTACTGTATGTTTGGTTTAAGAAGCAGTGAGTACAGTTATATAGTTTGGACGTTCATAAGATATATACTTAAAGACTTTGGACTATGGGCTATTGATTAAGAATGATGCCACATTCTATCTATAACTGAACTTTAATAAGAAATGCACCTGTAAGGTGAATTAATACAAGATGTTTGTGAGTAACTTTGTGACTTTGTTTTTTGTCTCTGAGTGCATATTTTAAACTAAGAGATTTCAAGGGAGAGTACTGTATATACTCGAGTATAAGCCGACCCGAATATAAGCCGAGGCACCTAATTTTACCACAAAAATCTGAGAAAACGGATTGACTCGGGTATAAGCCGAGGGTGGGAAATGCAGCAGCTACTGGTAAATCGCAAAATAAAAATAGATACCAATACAATTACATTAATTGAGGATTCAGTAGGTTATATATTTTTGAATATTTACAAAAATGGTAATTTAAGATAAGACTGTCCAACTCTGACCAAATCATTATTTACCTTCTTCAGTGTAAATGTGCTTACGTATCCTTCCAATAATAATAGAGTAACATAATAAATGTAATAATAACAATAATAATAAAAAGAGTAAAATAATGAATGTAGCAACAACAATTATACAGTAACATAATAAATGTATAATAAAAGAGTAAAATGATAAATATAATAATAATAAATAGAATAAAATAATGAATGAAATGAAAATAATAATAACAACAAMAGAGTAAAATAATAAATRACCTTGACCCGAGTATAAGCCGAGGGGGACTTTTTCAGCCTTAGAAAGGGCTGAAAAACTCAGCTTATACTCGAGTATATACAGTATATGTTGTAGTAGAGTCTGCKGGCAACGTTACAACTGATAGTAGGATTAGTAGAGGAGGGAAATGAGGTGCCCAGGTGTTAGATGAGGAGCAGCAAAGGAARAGAATTCGGGAGATACTTATGTCACCCACAGACGAAATATCCTTCAAAGGGTTTATTACTATGATTTAATAAACTATTGTTTTGAATATACTCCTGTGTCTTGCTCTTTAAGGCATCTGGGTTCCGACAGAATATATTTTTGGGCAACTGCAATTTCAACTTCAACCTCAAAGAAATATTTTAAAAACTCTACTAGCCAAATATATGTCTTTTGTGTAATGGTATGTCTTTGTCCCTGGCAGTTCAAAGACATGGTTTATCAGTTTAACAGTTGAGTTACCTGTGTGCCATTACATGAATGCTTGTGAACATTACTTTTTCAAAGGGTGACCTCTAACAAGGCCATGCCTTCCATTGACTAGTGGTTTTCAAAAGGTGGTCTCCACATGTTCATAGAGATTCAAATTTACCAAAAGGAAATGACATGATTTTTCCTTTTCAAAAAGGATATGAATGCCATTTTTTCCCCATATACCTTGATCAAACTGCCGTTGTAAACTTTCCATCTCAGACTTGTTTCCGCTCACCCGGTAGATACCTTCTGTGCCCAACCCTGGCAAGAGAAAAAGAAATCACAAATCTGAAGGACTTGGCACTACCAAGAAGAAGTAAAAAGAATAGAAGTTTCTGGGAAGGAAATTATCATAAAAGATTAGTTATATTATCAACATTAGAGAACTTTGGCTTAACATTTCCTACTGAATTTATATTAGTCTTAAATGTTTAACTGTATCAAGAGAGATCAGAGAAGATAAGATGACCTTTACTTTCTCTGTCTATTAAAGTGAACAGCTAGATTTTAATTTGCTAAAAGAGAAATAAAGGCAAAATTCGAGAAGATCACAGGAACAGATTTGAAAAGGAAAATATTATTCTACCCCTCTCCAAGCATCCACGTAGCCTTAACATCTAATATTGTGAGGATTTCAATTGCTACAAGCTGCTCTGGAAGCTCGTCTTAGCTGAAAAATAGGAACTAGTATACATTTCATTTGCCCTTGCAAAACAAGGAATTACAAACATTGTTATCGAAGGCTTTCATGGCCGGAATGACTGGGCTGCTGTGAGTTTTCTGGGCTGTATGGCCATGTTCCAGAAGCATTCTCCCCTGACGTTTCGCCCACATCTATGGCAAGCATCCTCAGAGGTTGTGAGGTCTGCTGGAAACTGGCAAGAGAGGTTTATATATCTGTGTGGGAACTTTTGCCCAATTCTATCGTTGCTGAGGTTCAGAATGTAGGAGAACTATAAATCCCAGCAACTACAACTCCCAAATGGCAAGGTCTATTTTCCACAAACTCCACCAGTATTCACATTTGGGAATATTGAGTATTCGTGCCAAGTTTGGTCCAGATCCATCATTGTTTGAGTCCACCATGCTCTCTGGATGTAGGTGAACTACAACTCCAAAACTCAAGGTCAATGCCCACCAAACCCTTCCAGTATTTTCTGTTGATCATGAGAGTTCTGTGTGCCAAGTTTGTTTCAATTCCATTTTTGGTGGAGTTCAGAATTCTCTTTGATTGTAGGCTAACTATAAATCCCAGCAACTCCCAAATGACAAAATCAATCCCCTCCCCAACCCCACCAGTATTCAAATTTGGGTGTATTGGGTATTTGGTCACATTTCACCCAGTAGATGAAAACACATTCTGCATATCAGATATTTACATGATGATTCATAACAGAAGCAAAATTACAGTTATGAAGCAGAATCATAGAATCCTAGAGATGGAAGAGACCTCATGGGCCATCCAGTCCAACCCCATCCTGCCAAGAAGCAGGAATATTGCATTCAAAGTACCCCTGACAGATGACCATCCAGCCTCTGTTCAAAAGCCTCCAAAGGAGGAGCCGCCACCACACTCCGGGGCAGAGAGTTCCACTGCTGAACAGCTCTCACAGTCAAGAAGTTCTTCCTAATGTTCAGATGGAATCTCCTTTCTTGTAGTTTGAAGCTGTTGTTCCTTTGCGCCCTATTCTCCTGGGCAGCAGAATAGTTTGCTCCCTCCTCTCTGTGACTTCCCTTCACATATTTACACATGGCCCTCATCATGCCTCCTCTCAGCCTTCTCTTCTGCAGGCTAAACATGCCTGGCTCTTTCAGCCGTTCCTCATAGGGTTTTTTCTCCTGACCCTTGACTATTTGAGTCGCCCTCCTCTGGACACATTCTAGCTTAGTCAACATCTCCCTTCAATTGTGGTGCCCAGAATTGGACACAGTATTCCAGGTGTGGTCTAACCAAGGCAGAATAGAGCATGGGCAGGATGACTGCCCTGAATCTAGACACTAGACTCCTATTAATGCAGGCCAAAATCCAATGGCTTTTTTTGCCGCAGCATTACATTGTTGGCTCATGTTTAACTTGTTGTCCACAAGGACCCCAAGATCTTTTTCACATGTACTGGTCTTGAGCCACGCGTCCCCCATCCTATATCTTTGCATTTAATGTTTGACAGAAGTCAAACTTGAAAGCTCTCATTTACCCAGGGGCCCCCTTCCTCTTTTCTGATCTCTTTTTCTCTTCTAACAATTAAACATCACCTGGCTGTGTTCTTGAGAAACTCTAAAACAATTCAAGCTGTCACAGTGATTTAAGGATGAAGACATGTCAAGATGCGACCTAGTAAACATGTGCCATGCCAAATGCTACATTTCTGAAGGATTAGGGTCCAATCTGCCTCTCTCTTCTGATAGGAGATCCTGACTTATAAAACTACATATAGATAAAAATTCTACAAATGCCTTGCAATCACCTCAGTACTCATAATACAAAGCCTGACTTCTATTTGCATGCAAGCTTCTATGCCAACATAAATGTAATCTGAACCATTTAAAGCCTGCTTTCATACTTGCCAGCATGATGTAAACGACCCAGAGTGTAAATGAAATTCCAGGGAGGAAGAGCAACTGTAATGTACAATGTAAGGTACAATGTCCCTCTCATAGGAACCTGCATGTCATAAGCATTTGAATTAAAACTACCATATTGAAATCAAATCTGATGCTTTTAAAAATTTTATTTGGTGTGTGTTGGAAGAGGGGTAGTCTTATATGGCGAGGATATCCCAAACTCTATATTTTAACTGGAAAATGTGGGGGTCGTCTTATACGTCCAGGGATCTTATATGCCGGAATATACGGTAGCTGTAAAATATGATGGAAAGGTGAGTTGTGGCATGCCTGTTAAAAGAAGTTTTTAGCAATTTCACATCTAAGAAAGTTGATAGTGATTTTCAGTGCTGCTTATAGCTGTCCTAAAGAGGAATGCAAGAAATCTGGCCAGGAAATTTACAATATGAAAAGAGGGAAGGCACCAGAGGGCAAAGGTGGTTGCCCTTCGGAGGAGGAAGGCCTGCTTCAGTAAATATGCACGCTGAGTTGGGGATGGAGGGGGAGCCCAATGTCTCAATTAAGCAATTGTTTTAATTGCCACTTTCCGAGAGGCCAGTCTTTGGGGAGATAAAAGCAGAAGGCCTGCTTGCCTGCCTCCCAGTGAAGGGAGTAGATTGATGATAGGTGAATCTGGGCTGGAGAGGATTTAGTCAGCGTCCAGGTCATCAATTGCGTGGCTTAAAAGCTCTAATTGCCACAGAGGCTGCCTGCACAGGGACCTCATTTCGCAGAAAGCCATTCACCTCATCAGGGAGGAAAAGTGGGTTAATGGACCAGCCCAGAGGGCCGTATCATTCCACGCTGGGAACAAAAGAGCCACTGTGCCTGTGCACCGGGGAGAGGGAAAGGAGCAGCTGCCACCGCCATTTATCTTCCCAGCGCCTCCAGTCCAAACAAACTTGTCAACGGACAATATGGGAAAGATTATGCAGACACACAGGCTACCTGCGCTGTCCACTCGGAGGCAGCCCGGACTGTGAAGGAAGGTGCATTAAACCCCTCAAGCCGTGGATTCAAACCCTGCCTGGGACTGGTGCAAGTGGATGAACTCAGGTTAAGCAGATTGGGTGAAAAAGTATATCTCTGTGTCACCCAAGTTAACCTCACACTGGATTCTTCTTATGGTTATTTATTTATCGTGTCAGGGGCAACCAGACAATTATCATTATTATTTTTGGTCGTGTCAGGAGTTACTCCTGGTGTGAGAGAATTGGCCGTCTGCAAGGATGTTGCCCAGGGGACGCCTGGATGATTTGATGTTTTTATCATCCTTGTGGGAGGCCACTCTCATGTCCCCGTATGAGGAGCTGGAGCTGATAAAGGGAGCTCATCCGCCTCTCCCCGGATTCGAACCTGCGACCTGTCGGTCTTCAGTCCTGCCGGCACAGGGGTTTAACCCACTGCGCCACTGGGGGCTCCACCAGACAATTGTATTACATTTCTAACAGAACAAAACAAACAAACAGAAAAAAACACAAAATTTGCAAGCTTGGTAGTTGATTAAATGTCCTTTGACCAGTAGCTGGCCACTTGGAGTGCCTCTGGTGTTGCTGCAAGGAGGTCCTCCCTGGTGCATGTGGCAGGGCTGAGATGGCATTGCAGCAGGTGGTCAGTGGTTTGCTCTTCTCACACGTCCTAGTTTATTGTCTAATTGGTTTATACCTCAACTCAACATTTAAATCTTTCATTATAAGTTTATTGCTATTATTGTGTCTTATTTTTGTATTATTCCTGATGTTGTTTGCTACTTAGTAAGGCATTGAATGTTTGCCTGTTTTTGTGCTGTAAACCACCCTGAGTCCATGTTGGGAGAGAGGTGTGGTCTAGAAATATTTTTTTTATTACTATTATTATTATTATTATTATTACTCTGACACAAAAACACAGTATGGCACAGCAAACAAGATATATATGCTGGGAAGTGTTCAACTTGTGATTTTGTGATACAAAATCCATTATTATTATTATTATTATTATTATTATTATTATTATTAGAAACACAACAAGATGAATCCACAGCAGACACTCTGCTGGCTGTTGTATTGGATCACATGTTGGCCACTTCCCAAGTGTCTAGGACTGTGTGATGTATCGCCAAATAATGCATGCAGATCCCAGCAAGGTGGCCTTTTGCAGCTGACAGGTGGTAATTTTATCAATGCCGATTGTGTTTAAGTGCGGGCCAAGGTCTTTAGGCACTGCACCCAGTGTGCCGATCACCACCTTGACTGTTTGTATCAGAGTCTTTGCAGTTTGATCTTTATAATCTTCGTATCGTGTCAGTTTTTGCAGTTGTTGTTATTCTAGAGATGTAAGCACAATGGAGCAATGGATTTCAAGAAAAAGGATTTCAAGAAAAGGGCCTTCTCAGTGGTGGCCCCTCGACTCTGGAACTCACTTCCCAAGGACATCAGGCATGCCCCAACTCTGGCAGACTTTAGGAGGAGCCTGAAAACGTGGTTGCTTCAGTGCGCCTTCCCAGAATAAGGAAACTCTCAGCAATATGGCCTCTAAATGCACTTTATTACTGACCTAGGACTGCCTGCACACCCCATCCCTCTCTGAATATTCTATCCCAGTTATATCTTACCTGTTCATGCTCAGCATTATTTTTTAAATTTTAATTATTACATTTGACCCAGCCATAGGTTTATAAA